ATATTAAATAACAGTTGCATACAATAAGCCAACTTATCCATCAAAACAATCTACCTCTTACTCAACCAATCCGTAGAAACCAACCTAGAAAAATTACCAGCAGGCTTAAGACAATATCTAAGCAACTTCAACTCGATTTAAAAGGTTAAAACCTAAAACTTTGAGATGATCGTAACAGTTTTTGGATGGGAAATTTTATTACAATGCTCTTATTACAATACATTACTTTAAAAATGGCGAAAAATCGCTATTTTTACATTTATGTTAGGATATCGTAAATCAAAGTTTATTCGACAATTTCAACCTTAAATTTATATTCAGTGCACTGCAAGCTTTTAGGATAGTATACTTTAGTTTCTATTGATCTGACATTCAACTATACTCTAACTGTTTGTGTTATTTAACAAATCGGCCAGCAATACATGTGCATGGACCACATACATTGAACCGCCGGAATATCTCGCTTCTCAAAAAATCCGCATTCAAATTTTTAGTTATTTCATAAATTTTATTCTACATTACTTTATATAGTGCTATAGACATAATCTTGTGTTTTTACATGAAAATGTAAATCAATTTGTCAGTATCATTTTATAATTTTACAGACAGCTGCTGTAATAACTACTTAAACAATTATTTAAAAATTATTATATTATAAATCATTCTAATAAAGTAAAAATGTAAATTAAAAAGAAATTATTATTCTAGTATGGCTTTTACCAACACGTTTATGCACAAATTATACACTTTATTAATAATGAATTCACTAGATTCTATACAAAGTGTATAACTTTTCTTTGTGAAATTTTAATCTAAAAATTATTAAAATTAACTCTTCCTGTAATTAATTCTCTTTCAGATGTAATTAATACTTCCTCAAATCAATAATGGATAATTGACAATTGTCTATACATAGCTAATACGTGGCAGTGACCCGCCTCGTCAATTGCAATAAAAAAAGATACACGCATGAGCGTGTTCGAAGCGAACGTCCTAAGAAGTTACGCGCGTTGATTTCGCTGCGCGTGGACAAGTCTTCACTCTCGCTTTCTCGCGATCACTTTCTTTTCACCGTCGCTTCTCTCGCATACATACATGTACTCGGAATGCCTGCTACACACACACATACGCACACACATACGTGCACCCATATACATACACACTAAGAAAATTAATCGTATCGTATTTTCGGAATTTCCAAACACATCGGAGCATCATTATAACTCATAGAAATACAAACAAACAGCTGCTGCGTAAACTAAATATATTTATTCACGTTTTTGACGAGCTTCTCTTTGTTTTCATTAGCGAAAGTGAATGATACGTGACGAGTTTCTTAATGGTCGTATGTAATTATTTATATATGTGCAGGAGTGACCGTAACGTAAAAGCCTTAGGACGACGTGCCACACCGATGCGTTGTTATGATTGTCCATGAAAATTCCCTGTCTTTTGCGAGAAACCAATTCCTAAACTTGCAAACTTGAAATGGAGATATTGCATATGATCTACATTGAATATTGTAACACGGTGAAAACAAATTCGATATTGGTATACTTCTTCAACTTCATACAAAAATAGGCTTTTTTCAAAGACATTTAATGTGTTATACTCTAGTTTCGTATTTCGAAAAACCAAATATCTACAATTGAGAAGAAAAATGTTTCTAGAACTTAGGAAAATACTTTCTCTCATGATAATAAATAGATTGGTAAGTAACATAAAAATAAATGTTTGTCAAGACTGTCAATTTATTTAAGCCATTCACTTCCACGTTTTTATTGCGGCGACAGATCGCAACAGTTATAGAAAAATCAAGTCGTACGATGGTCGGCGGAAATGGTTTTATTTCGCCGTGAGCGCCAGGAAATGAAATTTCTTATAGTTAAAAGATCTTTATGGATATCTCTATAAAAAATATACCGACGAGACTCTTAACTTTTAATATAATAATGTTGTTCAAATTTTATTTCATGAATAATATATAGTTATTCAAAACGAATGATATATTTCGTGTTGGGCATGGAAAAAATTTATTCACTAAACGAGCGATTTCTAGGCCAAAGGCAAAAAATATTTCAAGATTAATCTCAAACCAAGATATTAGAAATGAAACAGATAAACGATAAAATTTTCGAATCAATATTTATTGCTTTGATTGTACCAGTACAGTAAGACTGTTTTAATTTTCAATATAATACATCGATAAGGTTTCAATGTATTACCATTCAATCGAAAAAATTCACGTAAGCAACGTTCAAATCATTTCAAGATCAATAAAAAATGTTATTTATATTTTTAAATTATATAATAGAGAATCCAGACAAAACGATTTCTTTAAATGGTATCATGGCTACCATTGATACTGTAGAAAATTCGCTCTTCGTCATCTAATCTTTAATCCAATTATTAAATATTGAATTAAACATAATCATCATTCAGATCCTCCTCATCGAAATCCTGACAGTTATAAATCATTGCAGCTGTATTCGACGTAATCTGCTTTAAACAATCCAAGTACCTTATTAATCCTACAGATTGTTGAATACTGTTCATATCCATAGTACGAGGGTTATTGCTAAAAATTGGTAAGGTTAATAGTTTTTTATTGTAACCTTTATCTATATAATATGATTTATCTGAGGATTTATAACGTCAGTCTCTAAAGTGATGTTACTGATCTGGCTGTTGTCACTACCGCCTAACGCTAGACATGGCTGGATTTTCTGAATCTTTGATACTTAACAAAAAAACATATTTAAATAAATTTTTTTTACAAAAATATATATAATATAAGAGGTATCAAGTAAGCTGAATAGTATGATGATAATACTTTTCCAAGATATATAAATTTTAAGCAAGCCATTTTGTGAAAAATTGAAGTTTGTTTGATTGTAAATATTGGTATGTCTTGTGCGTGTATAATGTAAAACATCGTCTTCTACATTTAGTCATTGATAAATGAATCGTTAGAAGTTTGGAATAAAAAAATTGATTCGAGAAAAGTAAAGCTAAAATATAGGACGCCCAAGTGTCAATCATTCATAATAAAGGAGTTTAGTCGAAATAAATTACGAGCCTTAAGTGTCTATTGAAGCGTATATCACTCGTTTTAATTCATTTAACAAATCACCGTTTTCTTTCCTATGAATATTACTCTCTTAATCAACGGTAAAATTGTTATAACTATAACTCCCTGTATTTCATGTCTGTAATGGGCCCAAAGTGTTTTACGTTAAACTATCCTCGATAAGTATTTACACGAACAACTAACTGATAATCTCAAAATGCTTCAGACTACGGTAAACACTACCCAACCCATATTAGTTATGAATGGCTTAAATAAACGTTACGATTTTTTAGTTGAAAAAGGCTATTACTAACAAATAAAACTCAAAATAAAAAAAAAAGTTTTATTATTGTTCAAAAGGTTTTTAATTATTTTGTACCAACATGGAATGCGCTTTATTTTACTTTCACAATAAGTTTGAAGTTGAACAACACCTTTCCAAAATTTAATAAAATGCATGTTTTTTTAAGTAAAGACAAATTTTTATTTTAACAGCGTACACAGTGGTGGCTTTATGATTAAAGACCAGAGGTGATTCTTGTCGATGAAGCATAGTTTCAAATTAAACCCGGTTGCACATGGTAATGAGTTAGTAATTAAATTTCTTTTCTATAAATAATTTAAAATAGTGTGATGGTGACTTCTCATGTTTCTAAATTAATATACATACGTCATTACATGGTTTACGGATGAACCAATTGTTTTAAGAAAGAAGTAGATGTATTGTATTGTTAATAAAGATAATAAATAATAAATAAAATAATAAATAATAATAATAATATTTTTATAGCACCGTGTTTATAAATAAGGAGACCTAATGTGTAGTTTGTGAATGGCCTCCCTCATTCCTAAACCTTGTAAATCATGAAAAATTATTAATCATAATTTGTACTGTGTATATTCTTGTTATTAACAAAAAATTGATGTAAATATTTACTTAACATGATTGATATAAAATAACAAAACAAAATTTATTTACATATTTTAACTTAAATTAAATAATAGTAACGTAATAGGAATAAAATAAACTGTAGAGAAATATTAAGATAAACAATAATAATAAATCGAAATTTACTGATTAAATTTTGGTTTTATCTTCATTTTTTATGTAGATTCATCTCAAATTAAACATTTTCAAAAAAACGTTTTAGCTTTTAGCTCACCTTAAGACGTAGCATAAGTGAACTAACGAAGCATTCCAATTTCTAGCCACTTTACGAGCTTAAATTTTCTACCTCCGCCAAAGAGCTTCAACCAACAAAATTCTAACAGCTCCAAATCAAGTAACATCCTGTCTTAATAACACTATATCTATCCCTTCCCCACCCCCTTTGAACTCGCTCTCTTTCTCTCTCTCTCTTTCTTAACCTTCTCTCCATCTATACACTTTTATCTTAATTATTGCATTATTTTGTCATTGCACATACGTTTACAGCCACCCTGATGTTGCAAAACAATTAAGGACTTTTTACATAAGAGCTATCGGACATCGAATATTAAGCGAATATTAAAATAGAAAAATAAATTGATTTTTTGTCATTATTTTACCGAAGATTTATGCATTATCTGAAAAGACCATGTTATTGCATAACAGCAATAACATGGTCCATGTTATGCAACATTTATTTTTATTTTACAAATTAAATTAAATAAAATACAAATCATCAGAGATTGCGGAGAAGAACGATGATTCGTCATCAGAATTTCGTTTGAATGCTTCAATCAATACAGTGTTTTCTTGTGTTTGCCGCTCCTCCCGCCATGTATAATCAAACATCAACGGTGGAAGTTCTATGTTCTCAGTAACAATAGATTAAGCTGATAGTAAATTCAAATATATGTGATTTTAATTCAAAAAGTATTGTGAAACTGTTTTTGCTTATAATAAAGAATTTTTTAATAAAAATTTTTTTTTATTAGTTATGAAAATATTGGTCCTCAAAAAATATGAATTTCAGTTCATTTTTATTTAAAAATACAAACAATTTATTCTCATTATTTCTTTTTATATTGCACTTTTTGCATTATTTGTAAAAAAATAATCTATATATTTACATTTACAATTCATCCTTCAAACTGTTCAATTCAAGATCGAGGCTAGATTCTAAAACATTCTCAGCGAAATTCAAAGAAGCCCAAAATTTTTTATCTCCGAAGTTAGCATCACTAGCCATCTTATATTTCTCGGGTCCTGAAATATGTAAATATTGGAACTCTACTTTTGATTGGTCAACTTGTTTCCAGTCTTCATAAAAGTCTTGGATTCTGAAATTACATTCATTTATAGTAGATGTTGCTTTGAAATTAACGTATATTGATATATTGATTGTTGTATACCCTTTTTCAGCAAACGAAGCCCATAGATGCATTAGTTCTTGGTACATAGTACGATCAGATTCAGTAGTTGTAGGATTGACGAATGGATTTTCGATGACCAAAAATGTATCATCAGCATGGCTGACACCTAAAAAAATATATTTCTCACATAGCTTACATCTTACGAATTTAATCAATTTTGCAAATACGATGCTTTTATTATTATTATTTATGCCTACGAAATGAAGCAATTTACAAGTAAACTTAGAGCAATCAATATTAAGAGCACAATAACTAACCAAAGTTTTCTTTTGTTCCACTAAATGTATCACTCAAACTCGTAGTGGCTCTGTAACTATAGTAATAAAACCATACTGGACTCTTATTTACTTTGGCCTGCATTCTCGCGGCTTTCTCTGCATCCACTAAAAACATCCTGTCGCCCACCATTTTTATGATTGATTTTACATTCTGCCGATTAATTGGGTTATTTTCCATGTAATGATTTTTAATTTTCAGTGCAGTTTTAGCGTGCAATTTTGTTGGTATTGTGTAATTATAGTCCAACAAATAAGGTGCAATGATATCCCATTTCTCATTTAATTCTTTCAACAGATCGTCTCGGGCAGCAAATTCTATGAATAACAATTGTTTTAGTGATTATTTTTACTTAAACACTAAACATTTTCTCATTATAGTTACCTGCCACTGGATAAAGGCCCTCTTCGCTAACGACACTTGTAATCCATGGTTTATCTGCAACGTCCCCAGTTTTCAGTATGTCTATAGGTGAACGATTGATAAACGGCTTGTCGCCCGCTTTCTCTACGACTGGCCCAAAGGGTGTGAATGGATTATACAACCATGGCTAAAAATAATTTTGTTTTTGTAAATTTGAGCAGACTAACTATTTGTTTATTTGATTTATATAAACATTAGTAAACCAACTAGACACATGAATCCAATCTTTTAAAAAGATATTGCCACTACATACCATAAAATCTTTGACAGCCTCAACAATGGCTTTTGCCGGTCGTTGCCTCAAGCACTTGATCATTTCCTTAGTACTTTCTGTTGGACAACCCATGAGAATACCAAGTTTCATTGCTTTTTCCAAAGGTTTTTCGGTCTGAGCCCAGCACTGTAATGCAGTGCCACTAGCCGATATTCCATTTTGAAAAAGACCAGCACTTAGGGGTGACAAATAGTGATAGTGTACACTTGCCCCACCAGCGCTCAAACCTGACAAAGTTACTTTATTGGGATCGCCTCCAAAATATTCAATGTTATCGTGTACCCAACGCAAAGCCATACTCTGATCTTTAAGTCCCATGTTGCCAGGGACCACTTTGTCGTCAGTACTTAAAAATCCTAAAATAAGAATCTAACTGTTTAACTGTTTCATTGTCTAGTATTAAAATACTGTACATTAAAAAGCAAAAGAGTAGACTATACCCAAAGGACCCACGCGATAATTGGCAATGACGAGAATCACATTTTTATCCATTAGGTACCTTGCACCATACATATTAGCAGATCCATGAGTGAAAGCCCCACCATAAATCCAAAAAATTACAGGTAGTGGTATAGAATAATCGTCGATATCCGGCACATAAACGTTCAAGTAAAGACAATCCTCAGAGCCTCGTACACGATCACCTGGTAAATGATCTGGTTTATGGTTGTACAAAAGACATTCGTGAGCTAACTTGGTAGCTTGTAATTCTCCGGGCCATGCAACTACAGGCTGTGGTGCCTACAAAATATGTAGTAATATTAATTTTAATATTGTAAAGCGCCTTGAAATTATTTATTTTAACATAATTCAGTTTAGTTAAAAAATAAATTATTGTCCAAAATGTAAAAACATATCCAACAATACTTATACAAAAATTTACTTGTTAATTCTTTCCAACCACTTTGATTAATTATATGGATCTCTATTAAATTTAAAGAAATGAGCGCGATTGGTAATTCGTTGTATTTATCCCATACTCATATCGGTCAAAAGATAACGACGTCTATATTTATTTGCTCATGTAACCAAATGAATTTCAATGAAGATTATTCGTTATCTTAACTGACGTAATCGATATTCGATAATTTGTAGAATTATTTCAAATAAGGAAAAACATGATCTTTTGAATGATTTTTCGAAGTTTAGACATTTATGGAAAATTATATAAATTAATTATTATACATGAAATATGCAAATTAAAGCTTTCAAATTATATACAATATAGTTTTTTTGTACCAAGTAATTTTCAGAATTGCATCCTATGAAGCGCGATAAATATGTACACTATTGTTATTTGAAACACCAATCTGAATGTATATTCAGTTTCATTTTGAATTATTCTACAACAATATGAATTTTAATATAAAGTAAATTCGAAAATTTTTTAACTAAATTAATTATTTATGCAAAGTAGAAATTCAATGTCAAATTTATGTTTACAACTAACAAAGTTTAACACACAATCATATGAGAATTGAATAATAAATTATACCTAATCTTACTAAATTGCATACAGTAAATATATCTACGTATGTACGTACTATGTACATTACGCATACACACTGTGACTTATAAAGTAAATTATAATTACTTCTTACTTTGAATCGTAATTTCCCAATTGGTGGTTGAGCATAAGGGATTCCTTCAAAAACTTTGTACTGTCTCCCATATTCTGAAATTTTATAATAGCCCTTAATGCCTCCAAGCGGAGTTTTAACTCTTGGTTCGAAATCATCCGGTCGAACGAGGCACAACAATGGCACTACAAATAATAACGCCAATATTTTGATCATCTTCATTTGACTAGTTCAGCATCTAATCACATCGACTGCCAACGAGTTCTGAACTCCACGACAGTGAATGTTAGTTACTCTGTATACTGTGCAGATTTTATTCCGAGTATAGATAAGCTTGTCTTCCTTAAGAAGTACGTGATACTTAAATTAAGTATACTATTTTCTTTAAGGTTTCGGTCATTACATAATTACAACCTTAAACAATATTAAATTTTATCAGTTTTATGAACACATATAAAACGACCAAAAAAAAACAATTATTTTAGATTTTATGAAGCTTGAATGATTATATTTAATTTTAATAATTTTTCAATAGCAATCTATCCTGTAACTTTAATCTAATATTTTAAAAAAAATACTTATACAAAATGAAATTTTTTAAATATGTACAAGCTAATTATTATCTATTTCAATATTTAAATTGTTATTATAAGAATTCAAATTTTTAATGAAAAATAAATTCCCTCAAGCTCTTTAGTTTAGTTATTTTAGTTTTACTAGATGGCGGTGGCTGTTTAACTGAGTCTAAAATCAACATAAAAAACGCATGAAGTTCATGCCGAACAAGCGACGCGACGTATCAGAACGCAGACTTCTGACCAGGCGACTATTCCCTGTTTTTCTCATCTTTATATTACTATTTTCTTCCCACTCCTGACTTTTATTTTTTTCATATTCACACTTCACATTATTTTTTTAATTTACATTTACATTTATTCAACCGACAATTGCATAAATCGAACTGAACCTGTCAGATATTTATAACCTATTTCAGGCGGCCACAGGCTGCCTAGATCCTGATTAATGTGAGCTAATACTATGAGAGTATCTGTGAGCACTAATTCTAACAAATGAAATCTAACAAGATAAATCACACTGTCATTAACCATAAGAATCGAAAAAACAAACGAAAATCGCGCCGTACAAGCCCCTGATAAAGGCATTCAAGGCTTAAGCGAAAGAGAGGATCTCAACATGGAAGTCGACCTCGGAATACAATAAGAGGAATCAGGTGCTAGCAATGCAAAAGACGGATAAGCCAACGGTAGCTCTTCCATTTCCCTATATGATAACCTCTCTCAAGACAGCAATGGTATAAGCGATGCATCTCAAACATGCTCTCAAGATGCCCTCCGACAAAAAATTCTAGGCTCTTTGTGAGAATAAGCGACAATGCGTACAATGGGTACTCAAGGCTAACTTAGGTGCCTATGTCGTTTTTATCAAACTTACTGACGACTCTAGTGCCAAAATAACTTTTAACCCCACAACGTGTGGTAAACTTATCAAAACTCACTATTTCCAGGTGCAATTAAATCAGTCGTTGCTCAAAAACTTTCCGTCACACTCACAAACGCCGCGGCGGCGAACCGCCTGCTCACAGATCCCCTATTAACTGCTAATAAGCTCAGAGCTTCTTTCCCGTACCACCACACGAATAGGCAGGGCATCATCAGATGTGTACCAATTGACATGTCAGAACTTCTAAACATCATCGACTCACCCTTTGAAATTACACAAATCAGAAGACTGACATGCAAAGTGACAAACAATGATTCAGTAAAAGCTCTGGAATTCATTGAAATTCAATCAGTGAAGCTGACGTTTCCCGGATAAACTCCCCTCTTCCCCTAATGTCTATTTATTTTCCGTAAGCCACCCGACCGAGTGTGAGCAAGCAAAGGATCAGTGAGTGGAGTTTTCTGTGTAGCGAATCTCTGACTGCTTTGTGCGGCCTTATCAGTCATCACCATTCGGCGATCCAGAAGCAGATCACGGCCGCCAGCAGCCAACAAGCCGCCAGCGGTGATCCAGCGAGCCCTATTGCCTGCAGGACTGCGATTCCGCAGACGCCGACTCTCCGCCAGTAAGCCGCGGGAGAGGCTATATATATATATACCAGGTGGGTCCGATCTCGGTATCTATTTCGCGGACTCTCTCGCACCAGGTCTCGCCCGGTGCAACGCCGCGAACTGATTAGTCGCGTTTAATTACTTTAGTGAATTCGCTCCTAAACATTATCGACTCATCGCGTACATTTAGTTGAACGAATACGCTCCTAACCACCGCCTACTGTCGTGTCTTTATGGTTTGAGCGTGCGCGCTCACTATCTTAATTTGTAAAAAAACCGTGTGTGTATTATTTCGATGGCGTAAATAAAAGGATCGCCTTTTGTAATTATTTCGATTTCTTCTCATCACCTTCCCCGTCATCGTGGTAGGTTCGTGCCTGTGGAAGTCAGCGCCGGCTTCCTTCATCGACACAGAACCCTTAATAACTCGCAGGGGGCACAGCGGTGGTGCATTCAGCTGTGATTGTAAGAATTTTTCCTCTCCCCTTTGCAAGAGTAGGTGTAAGACTTTTATAATAAATGATTTGTATAATAAATTAGTTAAAGTATTTATTATTCAAAATAAGTGACACAGAGACTTCCGGAGTCTTTCAGAATAGAATACAGAGTTCTTTCGACGGTCGCTTTGCCACCCCTTTTATAAGATAAAACACATAAAAAGTAGGCTATAAAGGGTGAAACCCAGAAGAGGAACGCACGTCACCGAGAATAAGATCAGACTTTAATTAGCCATTACTCTAATTAAGGGAATTCCCCTTTCATAAAAATTCAAATTTTGCCGTTATTATGTGGCCTGACCTGTTCTCGACGTTACAATAGAAATAAAATCCACGTTACAAATTCTTCGTTTGCTAACAATCAAGACAGAGTTCCGTCAGACAAAACCAACCTTACTGAATTCTTCACGAATGATAACTGTCGCTTCTTTGGTAATTGGATCAAAAATAAGCTTGATGATATCAAAGGCTTTAGTGCCCTCAAAATATGCAGCATTATTTTCAAAAAGTACAAAGAGGTTATTAACATTAAAAATAAAAGCAACTTAAAAGTTGAAATTTTGTTCAGAATAAAAGAGGAAGCTAATTTACTTCTTAAAGACAATACTCTTGCTTTCCATAATATGGAAGCCTTTATCTATGACTTTAGAAAGGTTAGAAAAGGATTGATTAGAAGAGTTTCATTAGATCTTAGCGATTCAGAGATCAAAGAAGCAATTGTCTTTCCAGTGGACGTTTTGGACGTTAAAAACAAAATAGAAGGAATAAAAATGCCGCTTATGCGACACTGACAAATGGATACCTACAAAGACAATTCTTGTTACTTTCTCAGGACAAATCTTACCAAATGAAATATCTCTGTTTTACATAAAATCAGCTATTGAACCTTTTATTACAAAAACCAATGCAATATTATTTTCCATTGCTTCAAGTTTAGTCATACGGTAAATAGGTGTAAAAGCAAGAAAACATGCATCATGTGTGAACTTGAAACACATGACAACAAAACATAAGGTAGCAGATACCTCAAGACTACTCCTTCCTGCGCAAATTGTGATGGTTATCACATAAGTATTGACCCTATCACCCAATTTATGATAAAAACAGAAGAATTAACATTTTGATGGCTTTCGACAACATTTCCTTCATCGAAGCTAAGAAAATGATTCTTCATGATACTGAAACTCCACACAAGTCAAAAGAACATTTCTCTGATTTTCAACAGCAACATGAAGTCAATTATATTATAGCGACGGCCACTAATACCACCTAAAAATGTTACAGTGATGTTTCGTTTGAGAGCAAAACCATTAATGCAGTTAATCAAGGCGTACTTTCATGCCATAGCTCAACTGAGCTTATCCAAGTACAAACATACTCTCATTCTCCTCAAAACAGTAATCGTAACAGTCCCGCTAAAGAAATAGATGAAATAGAAACAATAATGACAACAGATAATAAAAAACTACTGCCACCGAGTGCCATTCTAGCTTCTGCCACTGCACATGATTCAATAAATATCGTTGTAATCTTGAGTCTTTCATTAATCATAAAAAAGCAGAAGCTTTAACTATTAAGACATTAAAAGAAAAAAATATTAACTCATTTAGAAATTTCTGTACTTAAATTAATTGTACTGCTAGAATTTCCGGAGTTTGGAGAAAGATCAAAGCATATCAAAATGGTCTGCTTCTATAGACGGCAATAGGGCAACATTACTCAACGCAAAAGAATGCCTGAATGAACTATGTATTCCTGAAAATCCCGATCTATGCCCCGCAATAAATATCTCTAATTCTGTTAAATCTAAATATACTGACAATAATAATAATCTATTATACTTTATGAACGAACTCTTCTCTTACGATGAATTTATATCTGCCGTCAACTCCGTTGATACGAAATTGGCTGGCCCCAGGTTCGGACAAAATTAGTTATGAACTTTTACTCATACTTCCCGAATTCTATTATCTGATAAAACAAGACAAATTTAAAGGTGTCAATACTTCCAAACCTTCTTTAATAACAGTAATAACAGCGCATGGTTCAAGAACTACAACAAAAAAAGAGACCACATAACAATGATGAATAGACTTAGATCCAACCATTACTCACTAAATAAAAGCATGCATAGAAAAAACATAAAAGACTCTCCCAGATGCGACTGTAGCTACTGGTCTGAGGATATTGAACACGTAGTTGTCGACTGCCCCAAATACGCTAACCAAAGAAAATCTCTAATTAACAAAACTAAGAAAAGTAAAATAACATGGCCAATAGATATCACACGCGTTCTAAATAATCCAACAACTCCAATAGCTTGCTATGTCACAAAATTCCTCAAAAAAACCACAATACAAGTATAAAAACAAAACAATAAAAACAGATACTTAATCCTAATACTCCTACTTCCCTGTAAAAAACAACAGTGCTGGCCACCAGCCTCAAACATACCGAAACGCACTAAAATCAAGAGCTGCAACTCACTCACACAAACTCAAACATAAAACAACGACAGCAAACTAACACCTGGTGATGGCACGGCAAAGCTTTAAGCATTGCACGCCAACGAAAAAAAGAAGAAGAAGGAATATAATCTAAATCGAACTTCACGGTAAGTTCGTTTGATTATACTTATATTTCGCCTAGCTTGTTCGAAGATATTCCATATGTAGTACCGCAACTCGTTGCCAGGTGACGCCACTATTTAGAGATAGAACCGAAGGAAAAGAGGCACTTTTTTCCCCTTCCTAGGTCCTATCTCTCTTCCCGCCTCTCCTACTTCATTCGTTTCTTGGCGCTCGGTGAAGCCACAGGCAAAATGGAAAACAAAGAAGATCGTGTTAGACAAAAGATGGAGGAATTACGTCAGGTGGAGAAGCTGATGAACAGAGTTTACGGCGAACTTGACGCCTTACAGAAAGAAGAGGAGATACTCACATATGAGGGTAAGATGAAATACTATCGAGCATCAATACTAAGTTGATGTCAATGGCAAGCTTAGCCGATATGGGCAAATCTGAGCATCGATTCTAAGTCGATGTCAAAAGGAAAAACTCCCATAAGAATCTACACTCCTTTGTTCTTCGTTCAATGATTGCAGATGTTTTGCGTTTGGAAAACAAGGAGAATGAGGAAAGAGAGGATGGTGAGCTACTAGAAAGAGAGATCAGGATGGCCGACAATGAGCCGATTGAGGAGGAGACAATGGCGGCCTTAGGAGAAAATCCTATTAATGAGAATAACAAAGAATTCCTTATTATTAAAACTGTAGCCGACAGGTTAAAAGTGTGGTCATCAAAAGGCCTTTCTAATAAAGAGGAGAAATTAAAATTAATATCTAAAATACCTAGAAGAAATAATGAAATAAACCTCGAGGCCCCAAAACTTAATGAAGAGATCGCAGTAAGCCTTACTCAGAAGGCACTAACTAAAGATGGCTTTTTCAGAGAGTATCAAGAACTCGCAGGGGCGTCTTTGGCTGCAGCTGCAACGGCTTTGAGTATGATCATTAACGATAGAGTTGAGCCTTTAGAAAGAGACAACCTACTCGAGAATCTAGGAGGTGCAGTTAAACTTATGAGCGATCTGTTTTATCAACTCTCAAATGCCAGAAAACTTTTTATCATGGGTCGATACAATGAAAATATTCAGAGAATTGCAAAGAATAGAGAATCGACTTCCTTACTTTTCGGGGACGAGTTCAAAACGGTTTTGGAAAACGCCAAAGCAATGGAAAGAGCCGTACAGGAGAGTTGAAGCCAAAGAACACCTACAACAGACCTCCTTTCAGCAGCTATAACAACAACGCTAAGAATTCTTTAAACTGGAGAAGCTCCCCCTCTAACCGTGGGAGCAGGGGGAGCTACAAGAATCAGTACCAGAATCATCGGTCAGGCTCAAACACGCACAGCAGCACCTACGCCTCCAGTCGCAGATCAGAGCCAACGAAAAGATTCTACAATCAATCCCAACCTTACCAACACCACAGGAGGAGATAGGAACAACACAGGTAAAGACTGGAAGATTAAGGTTTTTTATAGATCAATGGGAACTTATTACACAGGACAGGTTTGTCTTAGAAACAATTAGGGGTTATAAGATTTGTTTTAATTCCCCGGTTTTTCAACGTAAAGAACCATCAGCCCAAGTGTACCCGAGGAGGGGTTATGAGAAAGAGATGGATAAGGCTATTGATAAATTAATAAACAATGGAGCAGTTGAAGTATGTAAATATACTGAAGGACAATTTTTATCCTCTTTCTTCTTAGTAGAGAAACCTGATGGATCCTTCAGGTTTATTTTAAATTTGAAGAACTTAAAGTTTTTTATTAATCATGAACATTTTTAAGTCGAGGATATTCGCACAGCTGAAAATTTATTGGAGAAGAGGGATTTTATGTGCAGATTAGATTTAAAGGAGGCATACTTTTTGGTTTCAATTCATGAGGATTCAAAGAAATACCTTAGATTTAAATATTAGGATCGTTTGTACCAATTCAACGTTTTACCCTTTGGCTTATCATCAGCCCCATATGTATTCACTAAGATAGGCAAACCGGTATTAAAGGAGTTAAGAGAAAAGGGGATTAAGGTAATAGTGTATTTAGATGATTTCCTTATTATAGGATCCACTGAAACCAAATGTAGGAATGATACTGTTTTGATTATCTCGTTACTTCAGAGATTGGGATTTATAATTAATTTCGATAAGAGTGAGACCACACCAAGTAGACTTTATAGATTTTTAGGTGTAAATATTAATTCAACAGACATGACCCTAACCTTGCCCTATGAAAAGAAGGGTAAAATATTAGAGATAGTCAGCACAATTTTAGAGATGAAGGTAGTAAGAATCAAGATGCTAGCTAGGTGCGTAGAAGTGTTAGTAGCAGCTTGCCCTGCAGTAGCTTACGGCTGGTTACATTATAAATATTTAGAAACACTCAAGGGAGATGCGTTAACAATTCAGGACTACAATATGAACAGATCAGTACATCTAGACACAAAAGCTAGAGAAGAACTAGAATGGTGGAAGGCTAATATTTTACCTTCTTACAACAAGATTAGATCAAATATATTTGACTTAACTATTTTCTCTGATGCTTCTAAGACAGGCTGGGGTGCTACCTGTGAGGGAATGAAAGCAAACGGTTTTTGGGACAGTCAGGAGAGAGAGCTACACATAAATTAATTAGAACTTCGAGCAGCATTTTTCTCATTAAAATGCTTTTTATCACAAAGAACTGGTATTCAGGTCCTGTTGAGAATTGACAATATTACAGCGATAGCGTACATTAATAAGATGGGAGGTACTAAACATGAAGACCTGCATATTGAAGCTAAGAAAATTTGGAATTGGTGCGCTAAGAGAGAAATTTGGATTTTTTCGGAATACGTAGCATCAAGAGAGAACAGGGCAGATGAGGGTTCCAGAATCAGTAATCTAGACACAGAGTGGGAGCTAGCAGAGGAGGCTTTTAAGGAATTAGTTAAGGAGTTCGGTAGCCCATCCATAGATTTATTCGCCTCACGCATAAATAGAAAATGTTTAAAATATTGTTCCTGGGAGAGAGACCCAGATGCTTTCGCTATCAATTCTTTAACCATTTCCTGGAAGCAGGATTTTTGGTATGCTTTCCCTCCATTTGCGTTGATACCTAGAATACTAAAGAAAATCAGGGAGGAATATTCAATAGGCATCTTAGTGGTCCCCTTATGGACTGTACAACCTTGGTTCCCGGATTTTAAAGCGCTCTTAATAAGCAAACTCATAACTTTCCAACCATCGCCCAATCTGCTATGTTCACCTTGTAGGAGCAGAACTCATCCATTGGCCTCGGAGCTTACCCTGGTGTCAGGGATACTGTCAGGCAGAGTTTTAAGAAAAAGGACCTGGAGGAGGCGACAATAGAGATCATGTTATCATCAGTGGCCAACAGCACAATGAAGCAGTACAATTCAGCCCTAGAATATTGGTGGAAATTTTGTAAGGAATCAGCGTTAGATCCATTCAACGCAGGAGATAAGGAGATTGTTAACTGTTTAACTAGAAAGTTCAACGAGGATGCGGCGTATGGTACGCTCAATTCACTTAGATCAGCTATTGCCTTAATCAATCAAGAGAATAATTCAGACAGCCCTCTCTTAAATAGATTCTTCAGGGGTGTTTTTAGAACCAGGCCAACTACACCAAAGTATTGTTGCACATGGGATGTGGAGGTTGTTCTTAATATGTTAGAAACTTGGAACCCACTGTCAGCGTTAAGCCTTCAGAATCTTACTTTTAAGTTAGTATTATTATTAGCTTTAGGATCAGCATTCAGAGTACAATCTATTGCTCTAATTAAGATAAAGAACATCAGGTTTTTGAGTAATGGAGTAGAGATCAGAATTTCAGATCTTATCAAAACCTCAAGGCCAGGATCAAAGGATCCTATAGTGTTTTTTCCTTATTTTCCTCACAGAGAAACACTTTGTATTGCAAGAACTTTAATATTTTATATTGAGAAGACAAAAATTTACGAGGCAATACAGACGAATTATTTATTTCTTTTATAAAACCTTTTAAAAAAGTAACTTCCCAGACGATAAGCAGATGGATTAGAACAGTCATGAGACAAGCAGGTATCGATGAGTTCTTCACTGCCCATAGTACAAGGCATGCATCTACATCAAGAGCTCTAAGGGAAGGATTAGACATTGGTACCATACGGAATGCAGCCAGCTGGTCTGAGAACTCAAAGGTTTTTGCTAGATTTTATAACAGACCTATTGTTAAGAGTACAGATAGGAATTTCGCAGCAGCAGTTATTGCATAACTTAAAGAAAGTGTTTATAATGTTCATTCTTTTAATATAAAGTCTTTTATTTCTGTAACGTAATTTTAAATATGTTCACATATATTATAATAAATACATTTAACAGAGAGGAACAGCTAATTTCACTCTAAACATCTACATATGGAATATCTTCGAACAAGCTAGGCGAAATATAATTGATGATCAAACGAACACAGTGAAGTTCGATCATAATTATATGAGTAGGCTTGTTCGAAGATATTCCATTCCCCCCCCCCCCCCCCCCCAAAAAAAAAAACAACATAAACAAAAACAAGAAATATGTGTTAATGGTAATTTTCCCAACCCTAGAATCACCTCGCTTTTCTCTAAACTAAATGAAGTAGGAGAGGCGGGAAGAGAGATAGGACCTAGGAAGGGGAAAAAAGTGCCTCTTTTCCTTCGGTTCTATCTCTAAATAGTGGCGTCACCTGGCAACGAGTTGCGGTACTACATATGGAATATCTTCGAACAAGCCTACTCATATAATTATGATCGAACTTCACTGTGTTCGTTTGATCATCAATATTTTGTTATATATTGTAGAGGAAGAGATGAAGGAGATCATTCTTGTGAAGCATTAAAACTATACTTTTAGATATGTATTTGGTCGCTTCTGTGGAAGGAGTGGCAGAAACCTTATAGTTTACCTTACATTCAAGATACCAACCCGCGGGTACTGTATCTACAGTGAATTTAAAACTGAATTCAAATCGCCATATCAATTTTGGCACATATACTTAAAAAAAAAACCACTGGTACCTGCCGAGAATCAATTCCGACATATAGAAGATTGATGTCCATTCCATTATTGATGCAAATCTCCGTGTTTCCAGTTCTTTGTCCGATGATCATCGCATTGTACGCAAGATTTTTAAATTGACGCTAGCGCGCTCGTCGAGGACCGGTGCTTATAGGCTTCGTATAATCTTTGGCGGGAAGTATTGTGCATAACCGTAATTTGGCTCAGCTGCTGGCGTCATGTTGGTGTCCATTCACGCGTTCACAGAAAATAAGTGTTTTTTAAGAGTTTTAACTGTATTATGCGTGAACAAATAAACAATTATATCAACAAGAGCTAACAAGAATTTTCATTGAATAAATATTGTAAAGTCTGACGCTAGTTTCATCTAACGATGAATTTGTTGTAGTGAAATGTTTGAGAATCTACAAGGTGGCATACTAAACAACTGAAAATCGAATATAGAAAAATAAAGATGGATATGCCTGCTACACAAGCTATGGACGATGAGGACTTCGTTCCCACGCAGAAAGTGACAGAAGTTAAAGAGTCTGAAAATTCATTGGTAATAAGTTTATTATTTAGGTTATTTTTAATATTTATATATTTTTTTGTTTGATAACAACAATAATATTTTCATGTGACATTCAGATTGGATCACTCGTAATTAATGACCTGCATCATCACATTTATTCTGGAATCACAATAATTGGAAGACAACCTGATGATTGTGCTATTGTGTTGAATGATGAGGTATTTAATATCCAACTTCCTATTTTATTTCTTTTGTTTTTTTAACAATAAACAATTATCTTCAGTCACACTACAGTTTTTAACTTTCATATTTAACTACATTTGATAACTTTATTTTTATCAACTCTTAAAGCTCTTCTTTTGCATCTTTCAAACCTCGTTTAACATTGTTTTCATCAAAATTAATAGAGCTCCACAGCTTTTTTTCGCCTAAATTATCATTATATTCTATAGAAAACTTTCCTGGTCCAGAAATATGTAAATAATTGAGTTCTTTTTTAGTTGGATTTACTTGAGGCCATTCTATTCCAAAGTCAGGTTTACTAAAATATATATTCAACCTTGAAAATAACTGTTTGAATAATTTAAACTGTTTAAATGTAATTATAGAAATCTAGAAAAATATACCCATTATAAGCAATGGAAGTCCAAAAGTTTAATAAATCTTTTTGCATTGCCTTATCTTCTTCTGTTGTCCTTGGATTAATAAATGGTTGTTCTATTACTAAATAAGTATCGTCAGCATGACAGACACCTATAAAGGAAAAAAAACAAGTTTAATGCACTTTTTTCCTTATTTAGTAATAAAGATAAAGTTGAAAGTTTTTCATAATTATGAATATTTAGATTTTATATAAACCACCACAAACCTATATTTTCTTTTGTACCACTCATTGTATCACTTAAACTTTGAGCAGCTCTGTAACTGTAGTAATAAAACCAAACTGGACTCTCATTAGCCTTTGCCTGCATCCTTGCTGCTTTTTCAGCATCCACAACAAATAATCGATCACCAGTCAATAAAGTTAGTGATTTCAAATTTAATCGATCAATTGGTTTTGATCCAAAGTAATGTTTTCTAATTTTTTTTGCAACTTCTTTGTGTTTATTTTTTGGTAAAGTATAATTATAATCCAATAAATGAGTTGCTACTAGATCCCAATTATCATCCAAATATTTCATACGTGTTTTGTCTAATCCAAATTCTGTTGTTCGAAAATTCAGTTTAACAATTTGAAATTGTTATAATATTTGTAAAAGGAGTATAATTCATTGTTTATTTATACCAGCAACAGGATACAATCCTTCTTCACTCACTACACCAGTGAACCAAGGAAGATCTTGAACATCTCCACTCGTTATAATGTCAATAGGACTTCGATTAATAAAATAATCTTTGTTTGATTTTTCAACAACTGGCCCAAATGGCGTGTAAGGATTATAAATCCATGGCTTAAACATTTTGAAATACAATTTAAATGAAAAATTGAATTGTCCCTGTTTCATTAAAAAAGAAAATAAATAATCTATTGTACCATAAACTCAGATGTTGCTTGAACTAATGGTTTTGCTGGACGATTTCTCAAACACTCAATCATATCTTTTATATTATCTGTTGGACAACCCATAATGGCTCCTAACTTTTTAGCTTTTTCTAATGATTTTTCTGTTTGAGCCCAGCATAATAAGGACGTACCACTAAATGATATACCATTTTGAAAAAGTCCAGTGCTTAATGGAGATAAATAATGATAATGTACACTAGCTCCTCCAGCACTTAATCCAGTGAGTGTTACTTTTTTAGGATCTCCTCCAAACCATTCAATATTTTCATGCACCCATTTCAAAGCCATATTTTGATCTTTAAGTCCCATATTACCAGATACAATTTCATTCTCAGTACTCAAAAAACCTTCAAATTGAAATAATTTATTAAACGTTTGAAATATAATTCGAAAATATATGATAGTGAAAAATTTATTACCTAATGGTCCTAAACGATAATTAATAGTAACAAGAATAACATCTTTATCTACCAAGTATTTAGCTCCATAAACTGTTCCATATCCATATTGAAAACAACCTCCGTGAATCCAAAAAATAACAGGTATAGGTGTCTTTTTTCCTTTTTGAATAGGTACATATACATTTAAGTAAAGACAATCTTCACTTCCTTCAACTCGTTCATTTTTATTGGTAGGTAAATGAGAGTACTGAAGGCAACCATCAGAAACTTTGGTTGCCTGTAATTCTCCTACCCATGGAGATATTTTTTCTGGTGGCTTAAAAATTATATTTAATTTTTATATATCTTGGAAATTGGCAATTATTCTTTATATAAAATCATTTTATCAAAACTCAGCCATACATTTATGTTATGGCGCAAAATAATTTGGTTCTATATAATTTTATAAATATATAATTAAGTGCTCACTCTGAATCGCAATTTTCCTATTGGAGGTCTTGCATAAGGTATTCCTTCGTATGCTTCATATAGATTGCCATTTTCAGAAATCTTGTAATATCCTCTAATTTTTCCTAAAGGTGTTTTAACACTTGGATACTCAGTATTGCTATAAGTAAAAGCTAAATTTATAATTAAAATTAGTAGACTAAAGTATAGCATGTTGCTTGCACAATTATTCCGCATAATATGCAGTGCAATCAATTTAAAGTATTATCAGTTTCCCCTCAATTTTTGACCTTCGCATCAAGTTATCATATTAGTAATAACATGGTAAACTATGTTATCTGTTGTACAAATAAAACTGAAGCATTTAATCAGTATCTGTAGTAGTATTGATGATAAAAAAAATTAAAAATTTATATATCTAAAATAGATATTTGAGCTAATGAACCTTGATAAAAATTATTTTCCAAATGCTGTTAAGACATTTTATTTGTGTATGTATTTTTTTAAGGACATCTGTAGGCATCAGATAATGGATTATTTATTTAAAAAACATATAGATTACAACAAAATACAATGAGAAAACTTGATATAAGTTATAATTCATTTTACATTAACAATAATGCACTCTTATTTTATGCATTATAAATAATTGTTTATTGTATAAAAACCTTTTTATTTTTTTTAGACTGTATCACGAAAGCATGCAGAAATAGAAGCTGAGACTATTGATAGGGCTATTTTCATCAAGGACCTTGGATCAAGTAATAAAACTAAAATTAATGATGTAAGTTAATTATTTTATTATTTTATCATTTATTATTTTGTTTTTTACATTTGTTAATTGGCATGCTAAAATACTTAATATCATTGTTTTAGAAAAAAATACGTCCAAACTGTTCCTACCAGATAAGGGACAATGATGAACTGAATTTTGGAAGAGTTAGGACTACATTTAAAATTCATCAACCTATTGAAGATTCATTTATAGCTTGTACCCCACAGATCAATAGAAAAGCAATTATTCCTGATACTCCAAATTCATCTATGGTATAATTATTATTGACATTTTTTTTTTCAAAACACCATAAGATTTTTAATAATTATATAATTTTGATTAATTTTTTCAGAATAATTCATCTGCTTTAGAGGGTGACGTATCAAGAATTCCTGAAACACAGGCAGATGAAGATGATTCGTGTTTCCGACGTCCTTTGATTCCTGTAAGAACTTCTATAAGTAATGATCACGAGAGTCCAAAACATGTACCGTATACTCTTGATAACGTTCCCTCTCCTCTATCAAATACTAAAGATGATACTGATATTTCTGACATAGAAACACAAAAGTTCTTAGTCTCTGAGAAAAGCAGTATCCATTCTTATAGTAATGAAGATTGTGAAAAATCATTGAATACTTCATATGTAAAAGAAGTTTTACCCGAAAAACTAGAAAATCAACCACTGCAAGATGTTGAAACACAGGAATCTGTACAAATTAAATCAGTTTCTAGTTTTAGAAGATCACAAAACACTTCTCAATCAATAGAATATACTGAAAGGCGGACATCTATTTGTACAAAATCTGATATTGATAAGAGTAATTTAACAGATGTATCTATCCACAGTGCTGCAACACAGAAAATTGAAAACCTAATAGAAGATTTAGAAACGCAACCTTTTTCTTGCAATAATTCCAATTCTGATAATAGAAAGTCTGCTAATACATCCATTCATAGTGCTGAAACTCAAAAAGCTATGGCTGATGTTTCTAATGAATCTTTGAATGATATTCAAACACAAAAATTTGAAATTAATAATTCTGATCTGAAAATTATATCAACGGATGCATCTATTTACAATGCTGCCACTCAAAAAATTACACCAGAAAATGAAGATGTTGATGATCTTGAGACACAGAAATTCGGAAGTACAAGAGCTTCGCAGAGTAATAATTCTCATCAAATTGTTGAAGGAGACCAAATGGCTTCTAATTTATCGTTTTCTATTCAAGATATAGATACAATGCCTTTTACTAAACATGAACTATCATTGGCTGTCAAATTGGATAATGACATACAAAATAAATATGAAAATTTATTAGATTCTACTACTAGTACCAGAAAATCTGGTATAGACAAAGAAGTAGAAAGTTCTGATAATTCTAAATTAAGTGAACAAATACCAACTCTATCTAAAAAATCGAATAAATCAGACATAGTTGATGAAATCAATGAAAACATTGTGCAAAATCAAATGCAGGCTAATGAAACACTTATCAAATCCATAACCAAAAGCTTACATAAAAGTATAACTAAATTTGATAAATCAAAAAGTTTTGTAGAAAATGATGATCATGAAGAAGAAATATTTTCACAAAATTTGATTGAAAATTGTCCTTTCCCTTTATTGTTAAATGATTCAACAAACGACGACAATGAACAATCAGCAGCTAATTTACAGAATGATAAAGAACTTGGAATTAATAAAACTGTTGACAATGAGCATAATAATCTTTCAAATAATGAAGATAATAGCACAAATATTAAGAATTCTTCAAACAATGAAGATAATAGCACAAATTTGATAAAAAAGAAATCATCAATAGTAGACAACGATGATTCAGAAACTGATGAAGAAGGTGCCTTTTCATCTAATTTGTTTAAGGGAAAGAAAAATGAGAAATCACATAAAAAAATTGAAAATGATTCAGAAACCGACGAAGAAGGAGTTTTTTCGAATCATTTGACAGAAGAAGGTGAAAAATTGAAAAGCAAACCTGAAGGTGATTCTGAAACAGACGAGGAAGGCTTTTTCTCCGGTCATTCATCTAATAACAATAAAATTATTGATGAATCGGAAAGCGAAGACGAAGGTGTTCTTTCAAGAAATCAATCAAAAAGTAAAACAAGTAAAGTTGACTCAGATGAAAGTGTTACAAAAGCTGCAGAAGATTCATTTACCAATAAATCTACGAAAAAAGTTCCATCTAAAATATCGGAGTGTTGCCTTAATAAAGTCGATAGTATGGTTCAAGCAGTGTCATCTGTTTCCGAATCAGATGACGACATATTTGATGAAATAAATTCATCAAAACCAGACATTGCACATTCAGAAGTAGGTCAAAATGATAATGATAATAAAGATGTCGTCGAGTTAGTCCCGATGCAAATTGTAGAAACTGAAAATATGAGCTTAGCGCCTACTCAGATAGTGAATACTAATCAAGTGCGTCATCGGGAAAAGGATAAATCTGAAGAAGCTGGTGACTTGACTTCTATGCCGATCATAAAAATACAACATCAAGTTGATGAATTGGCTCCTACACAACTAATAGAGACACAGAATGTACGTCATAGTACTACAGCTACCTCAGATTTGGCGAGAAAAGAAGCACAAGAATATGATCATATGGATGTAGCACCTACTCAAAAATTAATTGAGACACAAGACTGTGCTGAATCTTTAGCACCTAATCAAGAAGTAGTGAATACTCAGAATTATTCTGAAGAAATGGGTACGCTACAGTTTTCAGAATCTTTGGTAACGACACAAATTGTCGAAAATGAACCAAATGATGTAGAAAATGAAATTGCTACGAGCCCTTCAAAGTCAGCAAACACGACAAAGCGCCAACTAGAAATTGCGGAAATAACAAGTAATAAAAAACTGAAAACATTAGAAGGTTCACCCAAAATTAACGTAGATATTAATAACACAGTTGAACAGAATCACAATAAAGTGTTTGAAGGATCGGAGGAAAAAAATGAGAACATTGAAGTGCCAATAGAAACTAAACAACCGGAGAATATTTTGGAGTCCAATCAAATGAAAGAGAGTTCAGCAACAGATTTGGAGTCATCTATTAGTAAACCATCTCCTACACTCAGCAGCAAGAAAAGCAGTATAAGAAGCAAAATTCGTCGTAGGAGACTTACACTTAATAAGTCAGGCTTACAAAATGAAACACTGAAATCCGTTATCAATCTTAACGACACTATCGAGCAAAATTTAAACGAATTATTTGATAATAGCAGTGAAAATGTAAAAACGCTTGAACCTGAACCCATGTTGACGCAACAACTAGAGCACGTTCTCAATTCTCAGGATAGTAGCCCTCGAGACAACCCTATTGAAAGTGCAAAGGAAGAAGGAAAAACATGTAACATTGGTAGAAAAAAATCGCTATTGTCTCTATCACCTACGAGTTTGAATAATTCAATAGCCAAATTTCAAAACACCGATGAAAAGTTTTCATCAAAAAATGTGCAATCAATTTCAACGGAATCAGAAATTATTTCAGTTACTAAGATAAATGAAAAGTCACAACAAAATCAAGATTACTCCGCTAATCTTAAGAAAGATAATGTAACAAGCGAAAAGATAACAAGCAAAAACGATAAAACTCTCGTTTATAGGCGAGGAACGATCGGTTTCACGGACGCCCTTGAACCAGTAAGTACTTTTGATCGTGTAGTTTTCTTAGATAAGTATTCTACAAGTGACAGTCAATCGGACGGTGATGATATTTTTAAGTTACAACGATTACTTAACACTCCTAGTGGTAAGAAGCGCGTTAATTTACGGTTAACAAATGTAGATTTAAGTTCACCATCAACATCATCTGCGAGCAATCGAGAATTCGAAAAAAAGAACAGTAAATCTCCGGTGTTGTCGTCCAAGAAAGCAACCCTGGTCAAGTACCGATCGTCGAGAAAACGAAACCCAGTAGTTTTACTAAACAAATTATCCTCAGTGGTATGCAGTAAACATGCACAACCAGCTAAGAGAGTCATGTCTAGCGGATTAATTGGCTTTACTAATTGTTTGGCACCAGTAGAAAGTAAAGAACTTGTCTCGGCTGCATCTTCTGAGAGTGAAGATGATCTTAGAGCAAAAGTTCATCAGTCCAGTCCGAAGAATGTCAACGTAGATGACACGAATAACGAACAGTTGCCTATCATATCATCGATAGAGAATAGTAAGAATGACATTAAGAGTAAACAATTATCCATCGACTTACCAATAAAGATTAATAAGAACAATACTGAGAGTGAGCCATTGTCCATTGACTCGCCAATCTCGGAGGACAATAAAAACGACAACAGCGATGATGACTTTTTCAAAGGATTGCCAACTGTTAAAATCGCTGGTACACTAAACAATCCTGTATCGCCTTCACAGTTAACGACATCAAGCGACACCGATAATGAGTCTATCAAATCTCTCAAGATTGAGGTACCTGAGCGCTGGAAATGGTATGCCGAGAAACGATATGACAAAATCTATGAGAAATATAAGATAAGCAATGAGAAAACGGACGACTCTGAATCTGAAAATAACGAGGACCCAGAAATCAAAACGAACAATGTGTCGGACGACTGGGCAAAAAATTGCAAAGAACGACTTGTTGCAATTAATAAAATCTTGAAAGAAGTGGAGAAAGGAAAAGACGAGAAAAAACGGGAATCCAACAGGGGTGTACAAAATGCTACTCGTAAAGATAACATTATTACTACTCGCTTGCAGACGGTAAGAAAATACAAAGCTCGTTCGCCAAAACCTGCCGAGGATAGTGACACGAATATTGACAGAACTAATTCTGTGCTGAGCAGCACGTCCGACAGTGAGAACTCGGATCAATTGAACATTTTTCCCAAATATAGGCCTGTTTCACCATTAAAAATCGACATGACAATGTTGGCTAGGCAACAGGAGGACGAGGAAGACTCTGAGAAGGAGGCTTCGGCACCGCGTATCAGTCATACGTTTAAGAGAATAAAGGCCAAACCCTCCCCTTCTATCGCAAGTCGTCGGCGTAAAAGTGCGTGCAATAACGATATCAAAAGCATAACGAAATACAAAAATGCTGACAATAAAAAACTTGGTACTCATTCTTCGATTATTGGAACTGTTGGTAAGAGTAGCCTTGTTTTTCAGGTGTCGCGCAACGGCAAGACGACATCGACGACCACAACATCTAGGACGTCGAGCTCGGCGATGACTAATCGGACTAAGAGAACTGTCAACGATGGCGATGACGACGACGAATCGATCCATCAACAACCATCTCCGAAACGCACCAAGATCTTAGCTGATCACCGAAAATTGCAACAAGTTACGGTAGTTATTTCTCCTATCAAAGCAAAATTAAAGAATTTAAAGTTGCGTGAAACTCATCTGTTGAATATTCTTAACGGATCATCCAATTTCAAACAGTCCGATTCGACTAATGCAAATAAGAGGGCTACATCAAGAACATTGGACAATTCTCCTGTTGTTTCTAAGATTACAAGAACTGATTCACATGATATGGCAGTGGAGAGTAACATTATCGAGGATAAAAATGAAAGTAAATATAAGTCAAAAATCAAAAGCAAGCCAGCGGCGCGTACGAAGAAAGCCAAAATCGATATATCTTCGAAGCGAAAAGCTAATTTGAGTAAAGAAAATTTAGAAGAGTCCGATGTTCAGAAACCAAGAACACGTGGAAAAGGGAGGAGAAATCAAACTACAGATTTATCTGTATTGGAAAAGGAAAGCAGCAGGGATGAGATATCTGCTAGCGATTCAGAAAATAACAGTGTGAGATCAACTAGAAGTAGATTAGTTCGCCAAGCTCAAAGAAAGAAAGAAGAAAAATCAATAGTCACAGATATTAAGGTTATTCAAGAATCAAATTCAGAAACATTACAAAAGCCCAAAAATACTACTAGAATAAATACAAGAGGCCGATCAGCTAAAACTGTAGACAAGTCTAGTTCAAGTAAAATTAATGAGATTGCAGATAGTGAAAATGACAAAACTCAAGATACGGAATCACAATCGTCAAGCCAATCAGAATCAGTCACTACTAGAACAACTCGAAAAAAGAAAATCAATCAAAAGTCAGATTCAGGCAGTTCAGAGACAAACGAAGTGGTTGCTACTACGAGAGGAAGCACAAAAAAATCAGTTAACAATAAATCTGACGTAGTTTACTCAAACACAGACACGACAATTAAATATAATGAAATGAAAGCCGAAATAAATGTATTCAAATATATAAAGAAAAAAATACATGAAAAGTCAGATGAAACAGATGTACGCCCCACAAGAAAAACGTATAAAAATGCATCTGCTATCGGAACAAGCTCGTCAGAAGAATCTCAAGAAGTGTCTGAAATTATGAAAAACGTTTTAGAAGATTCAAAAAAAAGAAGGATTACGCGAAAAAGACAAGCGGTAAAAAGTAATTTAAGCCACGTTGAAAATAGAGAAAGTTCAGATGACGTATTTGAAAAACCAACTTTAAGGCCTAAACGTTCTAAATTGTTTGTTAAATCTGATAAAAATATATCGTCTCATGTCTCTGATACAGATGAAGATTCAACACATACATCACATGAATCTACTCGAAGAAATAGCAATCGAAGTGCAAACCATACGTCTTCCTCTAATATTGTACTAACGCCTTCAAGATCAAGCAAATTGACTTCGTTTTCAACGAAGAAACTGAAAGTTTTGTTTACTGGAGAAAAGTCAGATACCTGCCGTCAGATTTTGACAAAACTAGGTATGGTTCTATAAAATCTATTTCAATAACTATGTTTTTGAAAATTAATTTTAAGAGCTACAATTTTTTATTTAAAGTAAATAGTCCGTAAGTTATAATAAAAATTCTGCTAATAGCTTCTCTGCTTGTAGGCGGTGTTGTAACTGAAGAATTCGATGATTGTTCCGTTTTGGTCACAGACAAAGTGCGAAGAACATTAAAATTCCTTTGTTCACTTGCTCGAGGAATTCCGATAGCTTCTGTCAAATGGTTACAAGAGAGTGGAAAAGCACATCATTTTTTAGATTTAGAAGAGTATATTCTAAGCGATCCAGAGGCGGAAGCTAAATTTAAATTCAATCTGAAAAAAAGTTTGGATAAGGCTAGAAAACAGAAATTACTTGAAGGATATACTATTGTTCTATCACCAAAAGTGAAAGAACCTCCGGTAGATGTATTAAAAAGTAAATAAAATTATTTGTATAAATTATATGAAATATTTGATATGTAAAAATGTTATAAATTAATACCTGGTACTTGTATTGCATTTTTTCAGAAATAATCATATCCAGTGGAGGAAAACCTCTCGTAAGAGCTCCTGTTAAATGGCCAGAAAAATCTGTCGTTGTAACGACACAAGAAGAGTTGGACAGTGCTAAGAAATTGATTGAAAAAGCTTCAAAATCAGTCACAGTCCAATCAGTTGAATTTATTTTAACTGGAATTCTGAGACAAAATATAAATCTCAATGAATTTCGATTATTAGCTTAAACATTATCATTTTTTGCAAATAACTGACGTCGCTCAAAAATAGGAATAACTTTATTTTTTGTACTATTAAGGAAATTATTTGTAAAGGTTATTCGACATTATTATATTGAAAGACAAAGTTTACTTGGGAATGTTTTGTCACCTATGATTTTTTTGTGTTAACTTATTGCGTACCGTATTATTCGTAATTGTATATACATAAAAAAATGTTTATTTTGCTATTTTCTAATAATTATAAAAAATTATCGACTATATTTGTAAACAATTGAAAGCCGTTGAAATAAAATATTTAATAGATTTAATATAAATAAGTATTTAACATATTTTTAAAAACTTTCGTTTTTTATAATTAAATTAATCATTTCTACAGATTCTTGTTTGAACTTTCAACGAGGTAAGACGTATTTATAAGCCACTTCGAGAGCGTATAATTACATTGGCGCATAGTGGCATGAACGAGCAACCGCGAGTGCTACCAATTTTACTCACAAGGAAACTAACCCTGGTGTACGACACCGATTTTTTTCATTTTTTTAATATATCGTAGTATATCGGAAAATATTTGACCCATGTCTTTTGGTTCGTGCTAATTCGGCGATTGAAAAGGTGAAAACCACCTCTTAAGTTTCTACAATTCTCGAAAACTAACTTTCGAATTTCTGAGTGAAACAAAGTAAATGTTATTCAAAAACAAGTATTTGTATATTATTTTCACCAATAAGGGTTGCAATTCCTTGTTTTTATAAGCTTTGGGGGTGAACATTGAGGTGGTTTTCACCCCTTAAATCGCCAGATTAGCATGAACGAAAAGACACGGGTCAAATATTTTTCGATATACAACTGTGTACATAAATACCGAGGTTAGATACAAGCAATGATCTGTGGAATAAAGGATTAACAAGACTAGGGAAGCTGGTATCGATAGGCTTAGTAATAGAATTAGTTATAAATGTAAATAAAGCGAGCTTATGAAAAACGTATATATAAGTGCAAACAACTTGGACATGCACTCTTACTCTGGCTGTCCGAATTGCTTGACGTGACTCTCCGCTAGTGGCTAATTTACCTAGTCACCAAACGAGAGAAACCATGCAAGAATCCTGAACCATTTCCTTTTCAGCTAGAGTGGAGGCAGCTAGAATATTTGTGCTCCGCCGAGCTTCCTTGACCGGTTGAACGAACGAGCCTAATAAATAAAGCCTAAAAATATTCCTCTCCTTAAATCAGTAGAGAATACTGATCAGTAGAGAATACGCGGCGTTGCAACAAGGTTGTTCGTACGCACAACGGAAACTCAATTGATTTTCCTTATTATAACATTTCGCGATAAGCAATTATTATCGGGTCTAAAAAAATCCGATCTGCCCGAAAAGTCACACAACATATCAAAAAGTGAAGAAAATCGATGAAGTACACCTGGGGTAGTTTCCTTGTTAGTACTATTTCTGTGCAAAACTACAAGTATAGTGCGACTGCACTGTCTCAATTGTTCACCCTTTTCACCGCGAAAATTACCTCTGACTGCAAAGTAACTACACTCAAGAAAAAATAACCCCCTCACAGAATCACACCAACACCAAAGTGTTTTACAGAAAAATGGTCCAACAAATTCAGTTTCCTAAGAAAGATCAGGCAGTAGTCACAGATCCAATGGAAGGATGAACAATAAAAGATTATACTCTCGCTATTAGTAAAATTGTCAAGCCAGCCAATGTTCTCAAAAATTTCCAATGGAAGAATTTGTGTCTACCTGAGTAAATAAGAGTACATCGATAAGCTTACTGAACCAGATATGAAAGTAAATATTGATCCTCGCACATTAACACTAAGATCAATAGTATCGAAAGCTAAGAGAATCATTATCTCTCATTATTCCGCATCATATCATCGAAGACAAAATTAAAGCTCTCGACATTGTTCCTGTTTCTCACCTCACATGCATTAAATTAGGCATCAACGAGCCAGAATACGTACATGTCATACGTACATGAGCTTCACATATAGATATTTTGCCGGAAAAAATGAAAATAGAGGTTACCGAAAGGGTAAATGAGTCATTTCCTTCTCAATTAATACTCCCAGCAACTACGCTTGACACCACCGGCTTGAAGCTTAAGAGAACTAATAGTGTTCTCTCTGGCTCTATACCTTATCGACTCCTGAGTAAGAACAAATAAACCCCACAAAAACAACAGCGCACATTAAACCTCCGGCAGTCAAATCCAAAGGCAAACGCCGGATGAAAAATTCCTAAAGAAACTCTGTTCAAGACAGGACATTAATCAGCAGATCGCTCCGGTAAAAAAATTTTTCCGAATAAACGACAATAACTACCCGATCGACTTCGATAACTTGACATCTTTCTTGCTTGAAATATATGGCAGTAATCAAATAGTAGAAGTAGCGTATTTTACTACTACAAACCAGAACTTATTAACATCATGCTCAGGAATACCTATCCTTACTTCTCAGAACGGAGAATAAAAGATCTCATAACCAAAATTATCAAAAGGCTCGGTACCCAGGATTCCTCTTACATCTCAGACAATAATATACAGACCTTACCAATTCAGACTCTTCACTTAATTCTCTAAAACGAATAACACAAATGATCATTCACTCAGAATATTGTACTACTGGAACACTAGAAATTTTATCAAGCGCAAGGAAGAAATACATCGCAGTAAGTTCTCCACAAAATCTATATGCTTGTACATGTTGATATATGAAAGCTGGCTTAATAATAACACTGACGTCAAATTTCCAGGATTTGTAAATTACAGATTAGACAGAATATATTCAGCTGGAGGTGGTATATTCTTTTACTGATTCGATCGAACGTAGTTTAGCTTATCGCTAAATCAAAAATTGTTATATACCCGACATAAGATTTGAAATTTACGGAATTAAAAGAAACAATATTGAACCACCTGTTAGTCTAATACTACAGGGTGCCAGGTTTCGCTTTGACACTTGATAAATGGAAAAAAAGTATTTAAGAACTTAAAAAATGAAAATAACTGTATATTTATCGGTGATTTTAATGCTCACCATATATATTGAAATTGCGATAGAACTGACACAAACGACGAAAATTTGCTTGAATGTATTTAGAAATCAAGTTCTTTATATATAATTCCGATACTCTCTCTCTCTCTCTCTCTCTCTCTCTCTCTCACACACACATTAATTCTACTTCTTCATCTAATATTGATCTCATTCTCTTTAGCAAAATTATCGCCGAAAAAATAGACGACCAAGTAAATAATGAAACCTGGGGCTCAGATTACTTCCTCATTTACATAATTTTCAGTGCGATTAGACACATTTATCATAAAAAAAGCTACAAAATCAAATCTACTCAAACTAGAATAATGTAACCAAAATTTTCACGATTTCTTTTGAAAATTTTCTAACAAGCTAATATTACTATATTAGCTATATTAGTAATTTAAGCGCAAAGCGCCAATCGCAAATACGATTCTTTTGTTAATTTCTTATCTTCAGCTATAACTAGTAACACGCCAAAGAAAAAATTCGTAATTGTAAAATTTCACCTTTTTGTATTAATAACTTTTTACCTAATTAATACGTATTAACTGTGATATATACATTTGTAAATCTTGTCAAGACGAAGAAAAAACTATCAGACTATTTTTCGATTCAACTACTTGTAAAAAAGATATTACGCAAAAACATGAAAATAGATGAATTTTTTTGAACGGCTGGTTAACAGTGTCTTGCACCGATTTCAAACTTTGGATAAAGATATGTTATTACATTTAGTATTGAGTATCCGTGGAAAAATCTCGTGCTGTTCTAAACAAAAGTACACAATATTTATTTCTTCAATATTCTTAAAGCCCACTAATGGATATAAGATTCAACCCTTACTTCTTCGAAATCAAACACAAATACTTTGACTTCCATCAATGAAAAACTGACATGGGAAACATTCAATTTTATTGCGCCCCCTCATAAGCAAAGATCAGAAGTAATGAAATAGCTGATGCACAAGCTAAAGCTGCAGCAAGCTGCATAGACTGTGACAAACTGCCCTTCTCGAACTTGAAAGAACGCTTTCAGTTCGGTATGAAGGAAAATACAAAGACGACAATTTCAAAATCAGATCTTGAGAAAGGAAAGAGATACTTTGATCTCTGTTATAACGATAGCTCCAAACTGTGATTCCATAATCAAAGGCTCTCTCGTGATGTGATAGTTACGGTAAATAAACTACGGGTAAATCATTACAACTTAAGTGCATCTCTTGCCAGAATTTTAAATATCTAAATATCAACAATCCCACCTATCCTTGCTCCTTCCCTTCGCAAGATATTGAACATATACTTTGGAACTATCCAATATATTACAATCAAAAAATAAAACTGTTCGAACAATTATTTCGCACTGGCCTTCAACCACCTCTTAAAACGGATATACTACTTAAAAAACCTGATATTGCTGCGTGTCTTATTATTGTAAACTGCCTCAAAGATCATACATCGCGCATAGTTTTTTTATAGTTTCAAATAAACCTGACTCGACTTATAGTATGATTAAAAAAAAAAAATCATTTCTACATCAGTCAGCTATCTATTTCATTCAGTATTCAATAAATAATATTTCAACTTTATTCAAAATCAACCTAACTAAAATCTTTATTTTTTGTAATAATGTAACTTTAAAATAATACATTTTAAATAAAAAAAAAATTTTAATACAACAATAACATTTCTACTAATGGCATGGATATTACACAATATTATCAAATATTGTGATTAAAATTAACACAATTAGTTTATACTTCTTTTAATACTTTTTATTTTTCAGTTTTACTATACATATAATTCAACTACAGGAAACTTGAATTTATTTCTGTCAAGACTTACTGAATCTTGAGAAAAATTAAAAATACAAAATTTCTAGCCAAACTAATAATAATTTACATTGAGTCTATACAAATAAGACATCTTGATGATACAGCTTGATGTTAATAATGAGTTTAACAATGACTTGTTGAATCAGTTTATCTAAGAATATCGTATAAATAACGCGTTGCTAACTTTAATAGTGTTTTTATTAAAGTAATATAAAATTAGAATGTTAAATGTAATTTAAGTTGTACACTAAAATTAGAACAAAAATTTAGGTCAAAAACATTAATATGTAAATGCGTATCAATATGAATAACAGGTTTATGAGATTGAGGTGCTATCTTCCTTTCATTTTAGTAGCAATATTTAAAAATGTTACACTGGGCAGGCACC